GAAACAGGCTCCAGGCTCCGAGCCGTCAGCCCAGAGCCCGACGCGGGGCTCGAACTCCCGGACCGCGAGATCGTGACCTGGCTGAAGTCGGACGCTTAACTGACTGCGCCACCCAGGCGCCCCCCGTGTTTTGATTTTAAAGCACATGTTTTAAAATTACAATCTGACCTTTTAGTGGTAGAAGAACTGGATCGATCCACAAATATTATTTTTTTTTTCAACGTTTATTTATTTTTGGGACAGAGAGAGACAGAGCATGAACGGGGGAGGGGCAGAGAGAGAGGGAGACACAGAATCGGAAACAGGCTCCAGGCTCCGAGCCGTCAGCCCAGAGCCCGACGCGGGGCTCGAACTCCCGGACCGCGAGATCGTGACCTGGCTGAAGTCGGACGCTTAACCGACTGCGCCACCCAGGCGCCCCTGGAAAGCATTTTTAGACAGAAAAGTGCTGGCTGGATAGTTATTTTTGGAGCCTTAACAAGACCTCAAGGGCTGTTTGTTTTTTTGTTTTTTGTTTTTCTTTGCTTCTTTGTCAGATGCTTTTCTGTCATTTAGGGGAAAAAACCCCAAACCCTGTCATATTTGGGGTGGAGAAGAGGACTGCACGGTGGGGTGGAAAGAGCATCATCTTTGGAATGGAGCTCCTCGTCTGCCACTAGCTGTGATCTCGGGCACATTCCTTGACTCCCCTCAGTCTCCGTGAGCTTATCTGTGATATGGGGAGTAGCATCTTCAGCTCATAGATGTGTTGGGGAGTAAAGGAGCCGACACTCAGAAAGTGCTCAGTGTCGGCTTAGGTAAATGTTACTGCCCTGCTTTCCATGGGACGGAGCCCCAGGAGGGTAATAACGTCGCAGAGAGGCAAGAGGCTGTGGACACAGAAAGAGGCCACCCAGGCTCTGGGCGCCCACGAGTTCTGGTCCTGATGTCAGCTCTGCCATTACCAGCAGTATAACTTTGGAAGAGCTGTTTCACTACTCTGAACCCCAGCTCCCTCTAAGACAGGAATAGCAGTGTTACCTGCTGGGTATTTATTATGAAGATAAATCGAGGAAGTACGTGGATGTACCTGGCACAGTATGTCTCCAGTCAGTGTTAGCTGTCATCACTGTTCTGTTCCTGATGTGTTAGGGAATAGGGTCTGGAAATAGCCTTGAAAGTGGGATAGAGCACACGCCAGGGCCTGGGGGTTTGGGGAAGTGAGGGGGGCTCTCCCTTCGTGTAGCTGGGGAACACACTGAGAGCATCCTGCCGAACACGACTAAATAGACTGCTTGGGAAGGCACTCTTGTGGCAAAACCTGCTGTTTGGACTTGTTCCAGCAAGCAGGTCCCAGTGGCTGTTTGTTGAGGACTGATTATGTGAATCACAAGCCGGTCAGAGAGGCGTGTGCAAGGGGCAGGTGAAGTCACGGGATCAGGATGATTTCAAAATGTGCACTGCGCTGTTTAAGACCCACATGGCTTTTCCAGCTTCTCGGCTGTTATGGGAATGAATTGGCCCTTGGGTTTTCAGGACTTGGAGGATTAAGCCAGGGTGTCTAGTAAATGATAAACCTCAGGTTATTGTCTAGTTTGTGGTCACCTGTATTTTCTTTGCGCTGTTTGGAAGAGAGGGCAAATTTTCCGAGGCAGAAACATTAGGGGCTTATTGTTTATTTAAAAAAAAAAAATTTTTTTTTTAACGTTTATTTATTTTTGAGACAGAGAGAGACAGAGCATGAACGGGGGAGGGGCAGAGAGAGAGGGAGACACAGAATCGGAAGCAGGCTCCAGGCTCTGAGCCATCAGCCCAGAGCCCGACGTGGGGCTCGAACTCATGGACTGTGAGATTGTGACCTGAGCTGAAGTTGGATGCTTAACTGACTGAGCCACCTAGGCGCCCCAGGGGCTTATTATTTATATTGATTCATGCATTCAGCAAAATACACAAGTGTTTACTGTCTTCCACACAGCGTGTTCAGTGCTGGGGCGAACAGCATTCTGTGGGGCAGAGTCCTTTGCCCTCTGGTGTCTCTTTATCTGGCGAGGATGACAGAAATGTGTAGAAAGTCATGATCGTAGCAATGTCAATAAGGTCCTCTGGGAGCACAGAAGGGGAAGTGTTAAATTCTGCCTGGAGGAGCGGGGAGAGGTAAGGTGAGGGAAGGCCTCAGTGGTTCCTACCTAGACCTGCTTCTCAGAATCACCTGGGGAGCCTTTCACACGTCTGCATGCCCAGCGCGGAGGGCCTGCAATGGCTTAGGCTTTTGGATTTTGAGGAAGTCCGTTCAGATGATTCTTTTGCTTCTATCGTTATGAAATGCTGCTTATGAAATGCTGCAGGGTAGACGGG